CGCGTTTTTGGGGGCGCGGGGGGGCCCGCGGGGCCCGCCGCCGATGACGACAACGTCGTTTTCGTCAGATCCGGACGCGAATCCCCTCCACCTCGTGAGGCAAAACGACGACCTCGATGACAAAACGACAGCGTAACCCTTCCGTCGAGCCAAATTTGCCATCGCCATCTTTATTCCTTCGATTGGAGTTCTTCTTCTTCTTCTTCTTCACCTAAACGCACTCTTTTCTCACGACCTAGTGCAACGCATGCTCTTTTCTTTAATATATATAAATAAATAACAGTTATGTGGTAATAATAATAATATTAAAAATAATTACAGAAAAATAGTGTTTCCTCTTGCTCTTACGTCTCGATCCCGTCTCAGCCCTTGGATAATCTTTGATTCATTTTTAGCCCTTCATTATTGTTTATTGCAGGTTTTTTTTTATTATTCTCTTTGGTTTTTGGTTTTCACACCTGCAATGCAAATTCAATCTTTACTTTGGACCGTTGATCTTGTTTGTGATAACGTTTGCTTTTATTTATTTATTGCTGGCATGGCTGTGCTTTTTGGACGAACAAGTTGGATTCAAATCAAGCACGCACATTTATTTAATAAGAGAAAAACAAGTGAGACATCATTATTCTGTAAATTTATATTTCTTCGCTTTAATTAACACAAAATTTCTATAATTTAATTAATACTCGATTGGATTTATTAAAGTGAAGAAATATAGATTAAAAATTATATTTTAAAGATATTTACTATAATTTTTTTTAATATGTTTACCTCTCATTTTCCCATTTGCTATTCAAAATATGAAAAATTAAGATAAAAATATCATGGAAAGTTGGATGTGAAGATTGACAAATTAAACTTGTTATCTTACTAAATATCAATCACTTGAGTTTATCATCTAAACAAATAATCTATTAGTCCTCAGACAATATTTTATACGCATACAAACAAGACCGAACAGTAAAAACATGTTTAAGGTGTTACTTGTAGATGTAACGTTGTATCTTTAGTTTTTGAAGACGAATTCATTGGAGGGCCATATACTTGATCGAATAAATAGATGTAGAAAGAGTAAAACCATTTGCGAAACATGCTCAAGTCTAAATTCATTAAACGCTGCGGTGAAAGCTCAATTAAAAGTTAAGAAATGTTAACTGAATGGCTTTTTGTTTCGGATATACTATTGTTTATTCTAAGTAAAAATTCATTGCCAATAGAAAACTATACATTCTACCGCGTTAAACTAGATGTTTTATAAGGACACTTTATACAACTGTGTTATGAAATACATGTTTAGTGGTTACAATCAGTAGGGAATAAATAGTTACAGACAGTGGAAATTTTTACAAATCATGTTCGAATAGAAACAGGTGGCACTTATTTAGGATCTGAAAAACAAGGCACCTCAGAGCATGGATGCCACGCAGGAAAATTTCCTAGTCATACGTTTGCGAGTTTTAGATAACGAAATAACGGCCTTACACACCTTACCAAAGCCCGAGTATTTGGTTGGACAAGGGGAACTCGGGCTCCATTCCCCTCCTTCCAAAAAGACAATTAATAACTCTCATTGAAAATAATATTTCTTTAGACTCGTTTTTATTGAAGGATAAAATAAATGACCAAGAAAATATCATCACATACGATAAGAGATTAGTTTATATGATGCCAAACGATGATATTGCTCCATGACATAGGCCCTACAGTTTGATAAGATAAGCCAAGCATATCCATCCATAAAACTGGAGGATCCAAGAACCATAAACAAGGCTCAACCATGCATTTGGCTATCCAATGTCATTCAAGTAAATATGCAAAACAATTTGAATTGTCTAGCCATGGTGGTAATGGTATGCTCCATAAAATTGATGATAAAGCCTAAACCAATTCTATTTACAGAAGCAGCAACAATGTAAAATGGGACTGAATCTACTCCGCCAAAATTAACTACGTTTGTCTCTACATATAACGACATAAAATCCAGAAAAAACACCTCCCAATTAAATAGGTCTAAACCCCTCTCTACCTCTCTCATCGAATACAAATATCCCTTCTAACCCTACAAAACTGCGGGCTGCTTTTGAGCTCTCTGAAACAGCCTAAAAAACAGATTTTTTTTTAAGTAAGGAACATTTGTGAATATAAAAAATGGCATTTACAGTCAATTTCCCTCTATCAAACTCTTCAATCTATTACGGGCCTCCTCAGACAGACTACAAGCTTTGAATCTCCGCCTTTGGGGCGGACATGATTCCACAATGCTTTCAACGGGTGACAAACATATAATAATCACAGTGAGATTATCTGATGTATTTAGGCGCAATGCTTCCTTGACTAGTTCTCTGGCACATTGCTGTGGGTCATCATGCCTTCTTAATCCCCGGCGAACAAGACTTACTGCAACCTGGCTAGACATTACATCCCAAATCCCATCACAACCAACGATCAAAAACTCATCAGCCTCAGTCAATGTAACCAGTCGGACATCCGGCTCAGCAATAAGAGGAGATGCAGCACCAAGTGGAAATTTCAAGTCCCAATCTCCAAGGGCACGGGTCACTGAAAGATAACCATTGAGGTATCCATCATCAATGAATCCACCTAACTCCTCCACCCTCTTTCGCTCTGGTAAATAAGTTGGCCTGTGATCATTGGACATCTCAACAGCCACACCTCTCCGGCAAAGAACTGCTCGACAGTCCCCAGCATTAGCAACAAGCAAATGCCTCCCAAGCACAAGGGCAGTCAATGCAGTAGTCCCACATGAACTGCTGACAGTTTGTTCATCAGCCAAGGCAAGATCTGCCCGTATAAAAGCTCTCCGATGGGAATCCTCCAACTTCTTTAGAAAAAGTGCATCAGTATCATATGCCTGCAGCATGTTCACATCTTCAAAAAATAATCTCATAGCATTCCTCTTAACAAAAGCAGCTGCATCAGGTCCTCCATGACCATCAAAAATTGCATAAAATGCACTCGGTATGGGGCACTTGAACACAAATCCAAGATGCTCCCCTAGATCATCAATACAAATGTGTTCATCATCCATAGAAACCCGCGGTCCAATCTCAGCATAGCTCCCAGAACGCACAATTGGGATAAAATTCATTGCAGGAGTCTCCAGAATGGAATCTTTAATGATCTCAGTGCAACTCACTGCCTAAAACACATGTAACACAAAAGTCAGCACATCAAGACTAAAAGTGATCAGCTCAAAAGTGTTAAAGAGAAAACTAACAGAAAAAACATGATGCCGACTATCAAACTCACAAGGCCTAAGAGCACGAAATTACTAAAGGCAATAGATAAATTTTTACTAATTCGATCTACATAATAAAATAAGGATAAAACTTGCATGTAGCACTATGGTATTGTTCTTCAATCAAAATTAGTTTTATTATGATAATATGCTTAATAAAAGATTCCATTAAATGTGCATATTGTCGGGATAAAACTCTAATTCTAATTAGAAATCAACACCAACAATAACTATGCTATTATATCAGGTACCGTATCTATGTGTTGTCCATAAAATAAAATTCCACCCCCTTTCTCTTTCATGGTGTTGTGCTTTAGGAGAGGTGATAATACAGTACAGAGTAAGTAACCTAGGTTAAAGACAACGAATAAATAAAACACCCAATCCCAAATTCCACTTCCAAAATTCAGATTCATAAACTCAGCAAACACTTAAGGATTATCGGATCTTCCCCACACTTATCAATGAAAGAAAAAAATAAAATTCACAAGCCCGATTCAGATTTGACAATTAACTAACATAAAAGGACGCATGAAAAACCAATTCTTCCAACAAAATAAAACCAGTAACAATAACCTGATGAAAGCAAACCCAAAAGGGGACAAAAAAAATACAAAGCGAGATGTTACAGTAAAGAGGAAAACGAAAAACCATACTTGGCCAAAGATCGGAGCAGAAGGTGAAGGTGAGGTGGGAGAAACCTCAACCTTCACGTTGTGTTCTTGGGCCACGCAAATATGATACTTGACATCCAACATCGGAATACTCTGCTGACAGATAATTTCCGCTTCCGCTACCATGTTCTGGCTCACGATCATCTTCAATTAATGGGTAGGGTTTCAAATTGCTGAATTGAATTGAATTGAATTTGGGGGTTTTCTTTTCAGAAGAAGAGTGACAAAATTAGGGTTTCTCTTATTCTATTTGTTTCTGTATGCTGTGAATTCTGAGCGCATACTTAAAGGGTGCTTAATTACGACGCGCTTGTAAGCACGTGGTGGATGCGCGTGGAGTTGAAATCTCAATAATGCCCCTCATACGTGGTTTCGTATCGCATCATACATTTTCTTTCGAGACGCTTCGAACAAAAGGGTATATATGTGACGCGAGAAAAAGAGCGTGTGGAATCGTCACGTCTCTTCCTGAATGTTCTAAATGACGGAAGTGCCCCTGCGTTAATTCATACAATTTTTTAAGCTAAACTTTGCGGCTAAGCTCGTGCTAATCCATGGTATTGGGTTGAGGTTGCGTCTAAGTAATTACTCCCTCAAATCTACCTTTGCGTTGACTAATCAGAATTCATAAGTAAATAACTAACACCCACGTCAAAAGAAAAAAAAAAAAAAAAAAAAAAA